ATGGAACTACCATCACTATCCCTCTCTCCCTTTCCCCGAAACTATCATCTCTATCCCTCCCTCCCCTTTGCCCAAGCAAGACATCAGGCTGACCCTAAGCCCTACCGATCCACTGCTCTTAAACCTACCCATACACCATCTCCATACTTACCCCATGCTCTGGATTTCCTTGAGAAGAGTATTTCGAACACACAAGAACGTAGTATCGAGAGAAAGAGTATTTCGAACACACAAGAACGTAGTATCGAGAGAAAGAGTATTTCGAACACACAAGAACGTAGTATCGAGAGAAAGAGTATTTCGAACACACAAGAACGTAGTATCGAGAGAAAGAGTATTTCGAACACACAAGAACGTAGTATCGAGAGAAAGAGTATTTCGAACACACAAGAACGTAGTATCGAGAGAAAGAGTATTTCGAACACACAAGAACGTAGTATCGAGAGAAAGAGTATTTCGAACACACAAGAACGTAGTATCGAGAGAAGAGTATTTCGAACACACAAGAACGTAGTATCGAGAGAAAGAGTATTTCGAACACACAAGAACGTAGTATCGAGAGAAAGAGTATTTCGAACACACAAGAACGTAGTATCGAGAGAAAGAGTATTTCGAACACACAAGAACGTAGTATCGAGAGAAGAGTATTTCGAACACACAAGAACGTAGTATCGAGAGAAAGAGTATTTCGAACACACAAGAACGTAGTATCGAGAGAAAGAGTATTTCGAACACACAAGAACGTAGTATCGAGAGAAAGAGTATTTCGAACATACAAGAACGTAGTATCGAGAGAAAGAGTATTTCGAACACACAAGAACGTAGTATCGAGAGAAAGAGTATTTCGAACATACAAGAACGTAGTATCGAGAGAAAGAGTATTTCGAACACACAAGAACGTAGTATCGAGAGAAAGAGTATTTCGAACACACAAGAACGTAGTATCGAGAGAAAGAGTATTTCGAACACACAAGAACGTAGTATCGAGAGAAAGAGTATTTCGAACACACAAGAAAATATCAAGACAGAAGTAGTTCACACACTTTATTTATTCTTTGGTAGATTGGTTAAGTCAGTTGGTTTAAGACATCAATAAAGTATTTTTTGGTTTGAACTTGAGGCAAGTCTCTTTAATATACACAAGCAATACACAGGCTTGTCCTGAACTTGTTAATGAGGTCTCTGAACCTGTTTAAGAGGTGTCTGAATTTGTTTATGATGTCTCTGAACTTGTCAGAGACCTTTGAACTTGCTCATCACACCTGTCAACTTGTCAGAGACCTTTGAACTTGCTCATCACACCTGTCAACTTGTCAGAGACCTTTGAACTTGCTCATCACACCTGTCAACTTATCACTGACATCTTAAGAACAAAACAGATATCTCTCACCTCCTTCCCGTACCCACTAACCTTCTCCCACAAAGAACACAATACACACACATGAACAAATACTCATATCCCTTGTAATTACGACAAATAAAACAAACAAAACACATACAACAAAGACACAGCAACAACAACAAAAGCTGTTGAAGCGGCCAATACCGACAAATAAAATCAGATATCACCTTTTTCCCCGCGGGAGCCATTGTTAAAGGTGGCTAGAGTGAGGTAGACTTTATGGGTAAAGTTGTCTTAGAGTTTTAGAACGTAAGTCGCCCGGAGCGTTTTGCATAGTTGTGACTTAAGATGTTGCGTGTGACTTAAGATGTTGCGTGTGG